GGGGGTGTAGGTGGACGGCCTGTCGTATCTCACGTGACCTACCGAATCATCAAGAAGAAGAAGAAGAAGAAGAAGAAGAAGAAGAAGAAGAAGAAGAAGAACAGGAGGAGGAGGAGGAGGAGGAGAAAGAAAATGAATGGCGCAGAAGGGAAATACGAAGAAGCAGAAGAAAGGTTATGGAGGAAGATGAGAACGCGAGTGGGACAAGGGGAAGACTAAGAAGACGAGAAGAAGAAGAAGAAGAAGAAGAAAAAGAAAAAGATAAGCCTAGAAGGGAGGGAGGCAGGGGGGGGTGTAGGTGGATGGCCTGTCGTATCTCACCTGACCTACTGAATCATCAAGAAGAAGAAGAAGAAGAAGAAGAAGAAGAAGAAGAAGAAGAAGAAGATGGGGAAGAAGTATGGCTGCGGTAGGGTATGGCGGCAGGTATGGCGGTAGGGTATGACGGCGGTAGGGTATGGGGGCCGCGGGGTATAGCGGTAAGGTATGGCGGCGGCCGTAGGGCATGAAGAAAGGTAGGGAAGGAGGGGAAGAAGAAGAAGAGAAGAAGACCTAGCGAATGGAGCAGCAGTCGCAGAAGAAGAAGAAGTAGAAGAAGAAGACAGGTGAGGAGGAGAAGAAGCAGAAGATCAAGAAAGGTCGAGGAGAAAGATGAAAACGCGAGGGGGAGGAGGGTAAGAAGAAGAAGACGAGAGGACGACGAGGAGAGAAGCAGGAGGAGAAGAAGAAGATAAGCGGAGGAGGGGGAGGAGCACGACCTTGGTTTTTTTTTTTTTTTTCACCTTTTGTGTGGAACCAGACCCACTTTCTTCTTCCCTTTCCATACATGCAAACAGATGGCGAATTCATACTGGCGCAGGGCGCCCACTCAAAACTCAGAGATATGGAAATCGAGAACACAGTTTGGATGCAACCTCGCTTCAACAGGCTATGGCGCATCCGCGCCTGTACATCCCAACTCTCGATACTGTTTCCAACACCACCGTTCACACCAGCTCAACTTTGGATCACCTTGAATACCCCATGCACGCTCACTTCGTATCACACGCACACACACCGTTCTCTAACCTATGGCGGCTATGGCCGCTCGCTACTACTAATATGGCTACGCTATCTCCTTCTGGCCCACTTCGACTTCGGGCGCTCTGCAAACCACCTCGCAAAAGACGCTGGGGCAGCGCTTCCGCATGGCTTACGTACCGAATGAATGAATCGTTGGGCGCTGCCTCTTGATTTATACTTTTGTAACTCGTTGGTCTGCCCTCTTTCCACCGGGCCCATGGTGCACATAGTCCCTCATGGTACTTGCTGACTGTGCAAAGTGAGACTGGGACTGGGTACCCCTGACTCATCGAAGTTGGACTTGACCACTTGCCCACTTGCCTTCGCCTAAACGTGAGGCACTTTCGAAAGGCCACTTCCGGACCTTCCGGAAGTCTATGGACTCGGCCTTTCGAGTATTGTAGCAGGTACGACCTTGACCTTTCAGGAGTGTAGCAATTACAACCCTGACCCCTCAAAACACCTACAGCTACGACCTCTACAGAGTTCTGATCCTTATTCGACAGATCTACAGATCGAACCCCTGCAACTACACAAACCTACGGCGGACAACAACCAACTACCAAAACATAGGTCACGGGGTCGAACACTCGGGGGTCAACTCAATACTGTACATGGGCAAGGTAAGGTCTGGGGATCGAACTCTAGGGCCCACATCTGTGACTGCAGAAAAGTGAAAACCGTTTCACTCCCGCCGGCCTAAATTCGAGGCCCTCCGAGAATACTTCAGTCTAAGGCAGGACCTTTACCCTTTTTATCTCTCTCATAGGCTCGGACTACATCGGGAGTTGTCTCTAGAAGCTTTGTTCGTGTAAACCATGGTTCCTGAAAGGCGAACCTGACTTTATACTGTTTTTGTGGATAACCTCTCCCTCCTGTTCTGAAGATATCTTCACCTACGATGCCGTCAATGTCGTACCTTCCGTCCATATCCGGAGGATTCATGGACCTCCGCGACGAAAATTGTTGACTTGTGATACAAGGCAGCAACTTTGACGCATGAAACACCGGGTAGGTGTGGAGATGCGCTAGAATTTCAACTGTGTAGGATGGTCCATCCTCTCCGCCCTTGATTTCTAAGACTGGCAACGGTCCTTGGTATGCAGGCAGTAACTTTTGTAAGATGTTTTCCTCAAGGATGAATTCCTTGGACTTAACCCAGACTAAATCGCCTACTTGAAACTGTGAGGGGCGACAGTGCTTATTAGCTTGCTCTATTATTCTATGCTGAGTTTTCCTGAGGTTATCTACAATAGTAGCTATCTCTTTCTCGTGTTGTATCGCAAACTCTCGTGTACCGGGCGGTAGCCTCTGAATCTGGTCCCATCAGTCCCTCAAACGGTCTACGCGGTCTACAGGACTTGTGCAACTCGTTGGGAGTGCGACACGTGGCTAGGTGTACACTGCTATTGTAGGCACTGGCTACCTTTGGGAGCATCTCATCCCAGTTGATCTGATCGGGCCTAATGTACATTCTGAGAACTTGTTGCAAGATCTTATTCATTTGTTCAGTCTGACCGTTAGTCTCGGGATGGCGGTCAGATGACATTAACAACTTTAACCCATAAACTTTCATTAGTTCCTACCAGTTCTAACTGGTGAACCTGGTATCTTTGTCACTAACTATCGACAGCGGTATACCATGCTCACTGACCCAATGGTCAAAGAACTTATGAACTACTAAATATGTTTGTGCCTCTACAGGCAAGGCAATGAAGACTACATACTTACTAAATCTATCTACTATAACCATGACTTGACTTTTGCCATGCCTACTCTTGACCCCATCATCCATAAAGTCAATGAACACAGAATCTCCGGGTCTGTCAGGAATAGGCAAGGGTCTGAGAAGATGAAGAGGGGCTCGCGTAGTAGTCTTGTTTCTTTGACAGACTTTACAACTGCGTACATACTCTATGCAATCGGCCTTCATTCCGGGCCGGATATATGCGCGCATGAGGTTGGCTAGTGTCTTTTGCTAACCGAAGTGTCCCTCTATGTCGTGGCATTCCCCTAAGATCAAACTACGGATCTCTTCACTGTTAGGAACGCACAGACGGTCAGCTACATTAGTCTTCTCAAATAGTAGTCCATCACTGGCGCCGTAGTCTGGTTCGGACTCTCGGGACTCCTTAACTCTCTTGAGGAGGTCACTATAGATAGGGTCATGTGCATACGCTTCTCTAACTTTATATTGCAGGTCTCTCCCTATATCCAGATAGTGAACTATCACCCCAAAGTAATCAGCTCTCTAACTTTCTATTGCAGGTCTCTCCCTATATCCACATAGTGAACTATCGCCCCAAAGTAATCAGCTCTCCTACTTAGAGCATCCGCAACGACATTATACTTCCCTTTGACTGGCTTAAGTTCGAAATCATACTCATCTAACTCTGCGGCCCACCTAGTAAGCTTAGGTGTCATCTTGGCCCGAGTCTTGAGCCACCTCAGTGTCACGTGGTTTGAATAGACTTCGAAGTGCCTCCCAAGCAAGTAGTGCTTCCAGTGATCTAATGCTTGCCCGAGAGCGTAGAGTTCCCTCTCATAGGTGGATGTCGCTACCTTCTCTGAAGGCATCTTGGCAGGCATGAACTCTATGGGCCTATACCCATTACCATCGTCTTGCTGCAAAACAACACCTATACTGACTCGCGTTAGTGGTAACAATGAAAGCAGGGACAAATTGGCTACCTTAAGGACTGAATACTCTATCAAAGCCCGCTTTAACTTTTTTAGGGTTGATGTACAATCCTTGTCCCACTTCCAGATTGCTTATTTCTTTAGCAACCTGCGAAGGGGTGCAGTGATGGTGGAGAAGATCCTGACGAACTTCCTATAATAGTTAGCTAGGCCTAAGAACGACCGCAACTCTGTTAACGTACGGGGCGTTGGCCAATCTCTAATCGCTGCTATCTTGTTGTCTTCAGGTGTTATGCCGTCTCCGGCTAAGACGTGGCCCAAGTACAACACTTGTGTCTTGGCCCATTCACACTTCTTCGCGTTGATCTTGAAGTTAGCTTCTCTTAACTTCTCCAAAACTTGCCTGAGATGACCATCATGCTCCTGGAGGGTCTTACTAAACACTAGAATATCATATAGATATACTACCACAAACCTATCTAACCATGGCCTAAACAAATCGTTCATACAGCGCCAAAAAGTGGATGGCGCATTGGTTAGTCCAAAGGCCATTACTATAAACTCGTAGTGCCCATATCTAGTCCGGAATGTTGTCTTATATTGATCATCCGGATGAACCTCTATCTGATGATAGCCAAACTTTAAATCTATCTTCGAAAAATATTTGCAGCCCTGCACCCGATCTAAGAGATCATCTATGATAACATTAAGACCTCTACAGTCTATGCACATCCTGAACTCTCCCTCCTTCTTGGGGACAAAAAGAACTGGTGCTCCAAATGGAGACGAACTGGGCCTAATCCACCCCTTCTCAAGGAGCTCATCTAACTGCTTACACAACTCCTCTAGCTCCCTTGGGGACATTTTGCAAATAGCGCCTTTGGGAGTCCTACTGCAAGACGCTATCTCAATACGATGCTGGATTGGTCATTGTACTACTCCTGTAGGCGACTTAGCTAAATCTGTATACTCCTCCAGCAGCTTGGCAATAGCAGGATCAATGAATTTTTCCTCCGTAGGCTCAGTCACCGGCCTAACGTAGGCTACAAACACCTGTTTCTCTAGTTGCTCCTTCTTGACCAATCGCGCGAACGCGGGAGCACTAAGGCAGCAATGTGTCAAAGAGTTGTCTACTCCTGACACATGAAACAAACGAGCCATCTTGACTTCGCCTATTTGACTAGGGAGCCTACACTCGTGCTCTCTCAAGTGGAGTGTGGCTCCTGCTGCCTCTCCCCGGTCCATTCCTAGAACCATATCAAATGGGAGGCTGTCCTCTACGAGGAGAGTCATGGAATGGAGAACTTTCTCCACCTTCCTATCCTTCTCTAGGCGAAAGTACACCTGGACTCCCTCTACATAACCCGCGACTCGCATAGTGCGATTGTCTGCGAGGATATTGACTATAGGGTCTTCTAACTTTTGGACTTTCAAATTTAACTTCAGCTTCTGCATCGCTTTTCTACCGATATAGCTGCGGGTGGCCCCACTGTCTATAAGGGCCCCTACTCTGCCTCTAAAGACCTCTACATCTAGTAAAACTAGTTGTCCTTTCGCGTCCTTCTTCACTTTGGCCCAGGCAGGCATCCTCTCTTTCAGCTCGTCTGCCACGCCTGTGAGGGAAGTGCCTAGAGAGACTCTAACACAAGCAGTCTTTGGACAGCGATCTACGCACTGGCCAGCAACCTCTGCCACCTACACATGTGGTTTGGGAGTATCTATGTGGTGCGCGCACTCTTCTCCACATGGTTCAGGGATAGGGGCAATTGCGACCTCTCCTGGCGGTTGTCTTTTGCTGTTTGTGCAGCAAAGCGGGCGCCTCTGTACTTAGGACAGTATTTAATAGTATGACCAGGATCACCGCAATAAATGCACTGATCTTGATCGATCCTCCTCTGCCAAACTGTTTGTTCTAGGCCCAAATCTTCCCAAGGCCTGCCCTGTGGCAGACCAGGGTGCCATCCACCCCTTCTGTTCGGTGACCGATTAAAACTAGAGCGGTTTTGCGGGGCACCTTGACCCCTACCTCCCGCTTGGCGGCCTCCTCTGCCACCAACCCCTTGATCGCCCAGTCCACGACCACCAGAGGCCTGGCCCCATTGGCCCTGGCCTCTTCCTCTTCCTTGCGGCCTCCCTCCAGCCGCGACAACAGCATAAGTCCTCCCTTGACCTACGCTACCATCATCCTCTTTGAGACCCCACTCTATCTGATCATATGGGACCTCTTCCATACCATCCTCATCTCACGTAAGGATCAAATGATCCTTGCCCTTAACCTGACCTGAGATGGTACGGCCTTTCCACTTTTTGCCCTTGTCCAAGTCCTTGTGCCAGAAAGCGAAAATTGACATCATATGCTACCACTTCCATACTCAGGGTATCGTAGGTCATGGTAGACTCCCTACTCTTCTCAAAGAAGCGTCCGCGCAAAGGCTCGGGCATGGCACGATAAAATAGGTTGACTAACAGGATCTCAGTGACCCCATGATCAGGGACGACGACCAACTCATCCATTACGCCCTTGAGTCCCCTGGCACTCCTCCACTGGCGGGAATGAATGGTTTGCAGTTTGTCAGAAGCTCTGACACTTCGTGTGACATCTGCAAACCTTTCACGCAATAATTTCAGGAACTCACTGAGAGGGGTGAACACCGAATAGGCAACCATATCATTATTGCAATTAGCAGCGCGACACAGAGACCTGGCGAAGTTTGCTGCTTCGTCTTTGAGAGCATGGAAGGCTACGAGGACATGTTCATCAGGAGATATCTTTTGCAGGTGCACGTAGGAGTTCACATTGGCCTCCCAATTATTGAAGTTCTCCTCCTTCTTCCCACTATAGGAATCGGGGAACTTCACCTTAACAGGCTCTCTACGGGGACGTGCTTCCTCCTCTTTTGGTGCAGCCAACTTTGCGCCCTCTATGGTGCCTGTGCAGAATCGCTCTATACTCTCTAGCCTTGCCTGTACTTCTTAGCCCACGTGCATCATCATCTTGCGTGCAAATTCTCTAAACCCCAATCGTATTGATCGTAGGGCTATGTCCTGGCTCCTCCCAAATTGGTATATTGCTCCTCCTGAGCCTGTGCCAGTCGCTCTATGTTTCTCGCCATCACCTCCATTTTCCCTTGCCAATCTGCCTGTGCTTCCATCTGCTCCCTCTGCCTTCACCTCCTCCAGTTCTTTTGCCGCCTTACTTGCCTCCTCCATCCTCTTCTTCTTCTCTCTGGTCAAACGCAACTTCCACTCCAACTTCTTCTCCTCCTCTATTGTTTGCCGTTTGAGAGGATCTTCCTCAGCTTCCCATTCTTTAACGACCGCCTCCTGTTTGTCCCTGGGGACATATAACATTGCCTCCTCTTCTCCCAGAGACAGGTTAGCAACCCATTCAAAGACCTTCTTCTCTAACCACAAGCTCCCCTCCTTCGTGCGACTCGACTCTCCTATGTCCCTGATGCTTCTACTGATCAGGGGCTCTTCTTCTTCCACCTTCTTTTCTTCTTCTTCTTCTTCTACTTCCGGTGCTTTCAACTTTTCTTCCTCTTTTTTCATCCTTTCCAATTCCTCCTCCAACTTTTTTTTCTCGGCCTGCTCTTGCAACAAGGCCAACTTCTTGGCCTGCTTCACAACCTCCTCTTTCTTGGCCTTCTGCTCAGCCAAGATCCTCGCAGCCTCCTCCTCTTGCTCCTTTGTGTAGGGCTTGGTACTAGTACCACCCCTTGTGTCTACTCTACACTTAAAGGTGTTCCAAAACCCCAGAGGAAAGAGAAGACGCCAAAGGGTCCCCCACAAGGAGAACCCCGCGAGCAGACCGTACATAGGGTAGTTGTCCATGGTGTCAGGTGCACGACAGGGACTGTCCCACTCCTCACCACTTAAACCTACCCTCTAGACTAACTAACTGTCTAAGGACCACAGGATCTAGGTAGGACCCTGTCAACTATGGTCTCTAGCCTAGACCTAACTAAGGTTGTTACTACACGAGTTATTGCTGATCAGGAGGCATTTAAGGAGATCCTCCGTAACTGCTCATGAATTCTTTAAGCCACCAGTACATCCGAGCCTGTTTTTCCCAACACTGAATTTCACTGCGCACCGAGTTTTTCCGAGCCAGGGTCGTCGCATCTAAGAGCAACAACCAAAAAAAGAAAAAGAAAAAAAGAAGAAAAAAAAAAACTTCCCTGATGCCGTGATAACATTGTATGATGTGCTATTGTGACTGTGCCCTAAGTGAGGGCGTCTATCCAGGAACAGCAGGTAGGAAAAAAAAAAAGAAAAAAAGCACCCCTTATGCTGTGATTGCGGTCCGATACAGGATGCTACAGTACTTCTCTGGAACTGAATGAAGCGAGGCAGTTAGCTGCCTCGCGTTGAATCCACCCTGCCTGGCTCGCAGGGTGCTACAAGAAGCTCACAACAAAAAGCAAAAAATGAAAACAACGTCTCATAGTCCTCACCTACTGGCCAGATACATTCCTCAAAGCACGGGTGTAACTTCCACCTACGTGAGGGTCTTCCCCTCGTCTATGGATTCATAGTTCTTCGTTTGTTTTCTTTTTTTCTTCTTCTTTTTCTTTCCTTTTTTTTTTTGGCCTCCATCCCTGCCCCTAGCCTCCACAATTTTCGGGATGAGTCGTTTTCAATACTTTTGTTTGCCTGGGGGGTGTACTTGTGGTTTAACGTCGCAAACAGGACGACGCGATCAACAAGTCCTCTCAAGACTTGAGACAACTCGGATTTTGGGCCTACCGTGCCACACTGAGCAGCCCGCCGGTCTGTACGGTTCGTGTCCTCCGGGTCAGTCAAGTCGTAAGACACGGCCTTTAGCCATGGTCAGCCCGTGTGGGTTTGGTCAACAAAGCTCTACGACCTCATACACAGAGTTCCTAACACCTGGACATAAGAGACTCGATGCAGGAAGAAGAGATAGACAGACTCAGCAAGTACCATGGGTTGAGTGCACATCCATAGGGCGAGGGGATGGGTTGAAGGCTTGGCGAGAATATACCAACTCCAGCTTGGTCAATTTTGTGGTCAACAGCTCCGGTCAACGCCCTGGTCAGCCCTCGGTCAACCCCAGGTCAACACTCGGTCAAACCCCGGTCAACTCTTGGTCAACGATTGGTCAACGCTGGTCAACCCCTTGGTCAACCCCAGGTCAACCCCAGGTCAACACTCGGTCAAACCCCGATCAACGCTCGGTCAACCCCTTGGTCAACCCCTGGTCAACGCTGCTCTCGACTATGGCTGCCGACCTCTTTCTTCCTCACCAACCTGTGCTTTCCTTTCTCCCTCCTTTCTTCTTCCTCGCTTCTTCTCTCTTCACCCCGACTATGTCTTCCTTCTTCTTCGTTGTCCCTCCTTCGTCTCTCCCTTCTCCTTCACCCGTCTTCTTTCTTCTACCTCCGTGTCCGAGCTCCGCAGCTATGGCTGCCTTCTTCCTTGGACCTCACAACAATCTTCTCTCTCTCTCTCTCTCTCTCTCTCTCTCTCTCTCTCTCTCTCTCTCTTTTCTTCGGCGTTGTCTTCTTGGCAGGTACGCGGCACCTCACTTCAGTGGCGCAGCTATGGCGGACCTCCTCCTTCGATGGCGCAGCTTCAACTATGGCGCCCAAATGTCAACAACGGCGATGGCGTGTGGAGTAATGGGAACCAGCTCTGATACCAATGGAATCAGACCCGCTTTCTTCTTCCCTTTCCATACATGCAAACAAATGCCGAATTCACACTGGCGCAGGGCGACCACTCTAAACTCAGAGATAAGGAAATCAAGAACACAGTTTGGATGCAAACTCACTTCAACAGGCTATGGCGCATCCGTGCCTATACATCCCAACTCTCGATACTGTCTCCAACACCTACCGTTCACACCAACTCAACTCTCGATCACCCTGAATACCCCACGCACGCTCACTTCGTATCACACGCACACACACACTAACAACTATCTCTAACCTATGGCGGCTATGGCCTCTCGCTACTACTACTATGGCTACGCTATCTCCTGCCGGCCCACTTCAACTTCGGGCGCTCTGCAGACCACCTCGCACAAGACGCTGGGACAACGCTTTCCGCATGGCTTACGCAGCGAATGAATGAATGGTTGGGCGCTGCCTCTTGATTTATACTTTCGTAACTCGTTGGTCTGCCCTCTTTCCACCGGGCCCATGGTGCACACAGTCCCTCATGGTACTTGCTGACTGTGCAAAGTGAGACTGGGACTGGGTACCGCTGACTCATCGAAGTTGGACTCCACCACTTGCCCACTTGCCTTCGCCTGAACATGAGGCACTTTCGAAAGGCCACTTCCGGACCTTCCGGAGTCTACGACCTTGACCCCTCAGAACACCTACAGCTACGACCTCTACAGAGCTGTGATCCTTATTCGACAGACCTACAAATCAAACCCCCGCAACTATGCAGACCTACGATGAACAACAACCAACTACCAAAACATAGGTCACGGAGTCGAACACTCCAGGGTCAACTCGATACTGTACATGGGCAAGGTAAGTTCTGGGGATCGAACTCTAGGGCCCGCATCTGTGACTGCAGAAAGGTGAAAAACGTTTCACGTGTCTCACGTAACCTACCTAATGTTGACGAACGAGAAGAAGAAGAAGAAGAAGAAGAAGAAGAAGAAGAAAATGAGTGGGGGAGAAGGGGAAGACGACGACAAAGAAGAAAGATTATGGAGGAAGATGAAAATGCGAGGGGGACGAGGGGAAGACGAAGAAGACGAGAGGAGGAAAAATGCGAGGGGACAAGGGGAAGACGAAGAAGACGAGAGGAGGAGGAGGAGAAGGAGGCGAAGGAGGAGAGAAGAAGAAGAAGAAGAAGAAGAAGAAGAAGAAGAAGAAGAAGAAGAGTCGAAAAGGGGGGGTTAGGTGGACAGCCTGTCGTATCTCTCGTGACCTACCGTATGATCAAGAAGAAGAAGAAGAAGAAGAAGAAGAAGAAGAAGAAGAAGAAGAAGAAGTTGTCGGGCCCTTCGTCGTTACCTGCAACAGTTACCCTAGCAGCAGGGCGTTCGTCGGGCCCTTCGTCGTTACCTCCAACACAAACCCTAAACTATTCCGACAGGACAAAGAAGAAGAAGAAGAAGAAGAAGAAGAAGAAGAAGAAGAAGAACAGCGCCTTCATCGTCGGGGCCTTCGCCGTAGCAGCAGCAGGACAGTCGGGGCCTTCGTCTTAGCAGCAGCAGCAGGACAGTTGGGGTCTTCGTTGTAGCAGCAGCAGCAGGACTCTCGATGGCGATGGCGACGGGCCACGGGCGACGGCGACGGAGCAACTCCGATCGTGCTGGGGGGCGAGTGGCAGAGCCGATCCCAGGTTTGAACGGGGGGAAGTTTGGCGCCAAGATCTGCCGGCTCTGTCGCCGTCGATCATGGTGAATTGACGGCCACAGAGCCGGCGCGAAATTAAAAAAAAGCAGCCCTACCAGGCCCGACGCGACGGTTTCTTGGGCCGGTCGGATCCGGTAGGCCTGCGAGAGGCCAACACCAGCAAAAAGGGGGTCCGAACTCCCTACAGGTGAGTGCGCTGGGGGCGGCCGGCCCCCAACTGGGTGCCCTGCCCGGCCAGGCCGCCCGGGACCTCCCCCGGGCCCCTGCTGGTCACCCGGGCAGCCCGGATCCCTACTCAGGAGTTTTTGGAGGTTTTTTTTTTTTTTTTTTTTTTTTTTTTGGCTGGGAAGGTCCTTGCACGGCCGGACCGCCCGGGAAAACAAGGTGACCCGGGCGGCCCAGCTGGTAGCCTAGTAAATAAATAAAAACAATGGGTGTACTGTGTGGCGAGAAGAACATCCGAAATTTTGATAGAGATCACACTCACTGGTGTCACTGGTGTGAGGGCAAGAGATGGAAGAAACGGAAATTGAAAGGATATTTTATTATCGACACCTGCAATTTTAGGTGTTCATAAAATAGCCAACAACAACAGTTCTGATGTACCGCCTCGAAACATTTACCATGGTTTAGCGGCACCTATTCAAAAACCCTGATGCCTGTGCTATTCCAATGCATTATGGGTATCCTCTGAAACTCTAGGCCTTTCAATTACCATAATGCGCTTCACAAATAAATATCGTGAAGTATTCTCGTTTTCTCCGTTCCTGGCATGCAAACATAGTACCCTAATAATTTATCCTCACAAGTTCACAACAATGGAAAGGAGTACGCCATTGAAGTTTCGTTTCTTGGATGATATGATTCATGTTGTGAAGGTGCTGGATATGGGACAGAGACATCAAACTCATACACAGAGAGGGGAGGAAACATATTATCTACCCATATAATCACCACATTCGACTGAGAAAGCATAGTGCAAAGCTGGTACACAATACACAGCCCTCACATTGCACACTGGCACATGCATCACAAGTCACAAGGAGGGTATGCTGTTCCTCTGATGCCAGCAGTATGTCAGCACTCTGGAGTGTGTTTTCAGGCTGTGGCAGCCTTCCTTTGTTTTGTGGGGGCCTTTGCTGGCTAGTGACGACATGAGAACCTACAGTCTGCAGAGTCTTCTGTCTGGTGTGGGCGGGTGGGTGGGTGTCACTGGGGGATAGTCTGCTTTGATTTTCATCACAGCTACAGCTGAGAGCAGTGGTTGGTGCCCACCTGCAGCTGGGTTTAAGGGGGATTACCACTTAGCATATCATCTGTTATGGGAACCTGCAAATGGTCGAGGGCTCAGCCTTCTGATGAGTGATTGGACGTCCAATGAAACAGTATGCAACAGCCCCCTGCTGTTTCTCGTCCTTTCCTCCCTTTCTGCCTACAGTTCACTCGACAGTTCACTGCGACAACCATAACAACAATATAGTAATATACCAGTAGATAAATCTTGTTGGGAGCTTGGGTGCTGCTCCGCGCACAGAGCAGATATAGGTAGGAATAGACCCATAACCTTAGGATAGCTTAAGGTATAAATGGTAGATTTAAACCGCCAGTACATGGCCCCAGCCTTGCTGAAAAGAAAACCCGTCGCCTACGAAATTTTTGGAGGCCCAGAGCAGTAGATAAATCGAATCGGTCCGCAAAGGGCCTGTGGGTGATACCTGGATGGCCTTTTTTTTTCTTTTTTTTTTTGTTAATAGGCAAAATCCAATTTATGGATTTTATGGAGAAGCACAAACTAGGTGCAAGGTAAACAATGCAAGGAACATGAATATGGACGAAGCACAGAAATCCAGATTGCAAAATCACACTGAAGTCCAAGTAGTCAAAGCAAGAGCAGATAGCACAATGGAACCGAGTAACCATCCATTTGAGAACGATACAGAAGAATTGTGAGTCAATGTCCAAGCCCAACAGGGCAACACCAACAGCATAACCCAATGTAGCTCTCTCTCTTGAATGGCGCCAGGCGCCCTACCTACTCTACAGCCTATCACTACAACTACAGTATGAAAGCAACCAGACAACTTGACGACCAGCGAGTGATGATGTCAACACCAATGCCGACCTCCCACCTCCACCAGGTACGTCTCTCTCTTCACCCACACTCTCCCTTGTTATCCCACACAGCGCCCTTCACCTCCGAAGAACCACCTTCGCCCTCACCTCCCCTGCGCCCTTAGGCAGCCCGGCTATGGCCGCCAGCGCCCTTTGTACAGGCAGCGCCCTACCGCCTAGCGCCTGCCTGTCTCGCACCTCAGCCTAGCGCACCGCAGCAGCTGGCATTAGCGCAGCGTGCTGGCATTGCCCGCAATGGCCAAGATCCTTGCCCACTCGCCCTGCTTGCCTATATGCCAGTGTTGCGTGTGGGCGGCCTCCCTTCAGCCTGTGCCTGGGCCCCAGTACCTGAACCCAGGTCCGATGCAGTTGGGGCCCGGGCGATGCAGTTGCGCCTCTTTCATCAACGCCTGCGACCAGATTCAGATAGTGGGCCGGTTTCCCATTGGCATTTTCGGCCTCTATACCCAGCATGCATTTTCGGCCTCACGTTTAAGTGCCCAGGGCCTAACCAACTCAGGGCCCTGGGATTTCCACATTTGCAGAGATCCGAGACTCGGTGCACTCCAACCAACTGGCGTGCTGCAACTGTATGGACCCCACTTCGTGAAATGTTTGCACAGAGGGCTCTTGTTGAGTTGCTGGCCCACCTTCACTTAGAGCGGGCACGAGGCTTGCTGGGGCCTTAGCCCAGAACATGTACATCATGGCAAGGCCCCTTCTTGAGGGCTCAATCCTCACATTCCATCCCCCTTAGCCTCAAAAGTCCACTGAGATGCTTACTTCGCAGGTGCCTTCCCTTTTAACATTCTTTCATATTCTGCCACCACTTGAGGAGCTGTGTCAATCAGTTCCTCTCTGGTGAACCACCGATCTTCCTTCGGATCCGTATGATGCCTGAATCTGATGCGATACTCCCGCTTGGGTTTTGGAGGTCTTCCTCTACCCAATGGCTTCTGAACAGGCAGATCTCGGTGATCCACAATGTCGTCGATGTCCACTTGACCATCCATGGTTGGGGGCAGCATCCATCTCCTTGAAGGGAATTGATCAGTCTCAGCGAACGGTGCAAGCTTTGAGGCATGAAAGACAGGGTGAGTGCGTAGGTGTCCAGGATACGGATAACATAGGTAGGACCATCCATCTCATCCCCCACTACATCCAAGACTTCCCAGGGACGAAAATACTGAGGCATTAGTTTACGAGAGATCCCGAATTCCTGTCCTAGTTCGCTAGCCTTAACCCAGACTCGTTCCCCTACCTGAAATGAGGACTGTCGTCGACGCTTGTTCTCAGAACCAATCATTGCTTGCTGAGCTTTCTTGATATGCTCAACAGCTTGCTGCAGCAACTTCTCATACTGCACATCATACTCAAGTGTGCCTGGAGTTGCAGAGGATCGGTTTTCAGGTAGGAGGAAGTCTAGAGCTGATCTAGGCTTCCATCCCAAGTGTAGCTGATTAGGACTAACGCCGGTACTGCTATGTACAGCATTGTTGTACAGGCTGACGATGAGAGGCAACTCATCCCAATCATCCTGGCTGGGCTTGATGTAATGCCTCAGCAAGTGTTGTACAACTCTGTTCATCTACTCGGCCTGTCCGTTGGCTTCGGGATGATTCCCTGAAGTCATCTGAAGTTGACGGCCCATCTGCTCTGCAGTCTTCTTCCACAGCTCACTTGTGACTCGGACATCTCTGTCACTAACGATTGACTGTGGAAGTCCAAAATCACGCACCCAGTTGTCCATAAACAACTTGATGACGTGGTCAGTCCTTGCGGTCTCTGGCATGGCAACTAGTCTAGCGTACTTGCTGAATCGATCAATGACGACGAAGATGTGCCTCTTGCCACTCTTGCTGGTCACCAGGGTGTCCATGAAATCCATGGAAACACTCTCTCCTGGACCAGCGGGGATAGGTAAGGGCTTCAGCAACCCAAGCGGTGCTTGAGTTCGCGGCTTGTCCCGCTGATAGACCTGACAGGTCTCTACATACTTCTTTGCGTCATCTAGCATTCAAGGCCACCAAAATCGCTGTACTAGATTAGCACTCGTCTTTTTGTAACCAAAGTGCCCGGTTGCGTCATGGCATTCTCCTAAAAACAAACTACGCAAACGTTCACTAGATGGAACTACTAACCTTTTAACTTCGGCCTTATCAAGATAGAGAAACCCGTCCACCATCACAAACTCACTTTCCGTGGCCTTGTCTTTTGCCTGAAGTTTGCGCATGATGTCCATCGTGACAGGGTCTTCCTGATAGGCTCCCACCAATGATTGAGTTACTTCTTCCGATACACCAAAGTCAAAAACTAGCGCCCCTAGGTAGTCTGCCCTACGTGATAGCGCATCTGCAACCTTGTTGTACTCTCCCTTCAGATACTCAAGCTTGAAGTCATATTGATCTATGACCTCAATCCATCGCTTGAGTGCATCAGAAAGAGCCGGTTGAGTCTTGATCCATTTCAGTGTCTGATGGTCAGTACTCAAATAGAAGAACCGTCCCAACAGAAAATGTCTCCAATGGACAAGTGCCTTGTAGAGAGCATAGAGTTCCCTTTCATAGGTGGACTTTGTCACTTTCTTAGATGGCATCTTCTTACTCATGTACTCAATCGGTTTCAACTTCTTCCCATCCTGCTGAGCCAGCACTGCGCCAATGCCATATTAGCTTGCGTCATTGGTCACTATAAATGGCTTCTGAGGATCGGGAACCATGAGAACTTCATGATTCATGAGTGCATGCTTCAATCGCTTGAAAACACCCTCGCACTCATCACTCCAGTCCCACGGCGTGTCAAGTCGAGTTAGATCCGTCAAAGGAGAGGCGACTGTGGAATAGTTCTTTACGAAGTTCCTATAGTAGCCGCACATTCCTAAGAAAGATCTGACCTCAGTGACAGTCTGAGGTCGTGGCCAGTCTCGAATACTAGCCACCTTCGCATCTTCCGGCCTAATCCCTTCCGCGGATACTTCATGACCCAAGTATAATATCTTAGTGCGACCAAACTCACACTTCTCTAGGTTGACCTTATACTTGTGTTGTCACAGGAGTGAAAGTACAGTCTCAACGTGTTGTGCATGCTCCTCGGCAGACTTACTAAAGATCAGAATGTCGTCAAGGTAAACCACGACAAACTTATCTAAATGGTCATGGAAGATCCGATTCATGGCGTGCTGGAATGTTCCCGGCGCATTGCAAAAACCAAAGGGCATCACTACAAACTCATACAGACCATATCGAGTCTGAAAAGTTGTCTTGTGTTGGTCCTCAGGTCTTATAGCGATCTGATGATAGTCGGATTTCAAGTTTATCTTGCTATAGTACTTGCATCCTTGCACCCTATCCAGTAGGTCGTCTATGCGAGGTAGAGGCTCTGCGTTCTTCATTGTGATGGCATTGAGGCCTCTATAGTCAATGCACATCCTCAATGTACCCCCCTTCTTTGGTACAAATAGTACTGGAGATCCGTAAGGGGAAGTACTAGGCCGGATCCACCCCTTCTCTGTCAGTTCTTTCAGTTGTCGCCGAAGTTCATCTAACTCGGCGGGAGCCATCCTAGAGTTCCTTCCCTTTGGGGTTTTACTCCCTGGAATGATTTCTATAGCGTGGACAACTTCCCTTTCTACAACTCCTGTAGGCTCTTCGAACAGATCAGGGAACTTAGCAACGACGTGTTCTATCTCTGGGGGTGTTTTAACGGCCTCCCCTTTTTCAGAGACGTACACTAGGTACATACCCTCCTCTTGGTTCTGTTTGTAATAGTTATAGAACATTGATGCACACAAGCAGCCATAGGTATCTATAATGCTACTGGCTTTGAACTTAGTCAATCTGACTGTTCTGCCATCAGGCAACTTATGTTTTAGCACCTTCTTGTCCCAGTCGAACTGGGGCTTAGCAACCTCAAGGTAGTACATGCCTAACAACATGTCAAACGGCAAGTCATCGCTAACCAGGAACGAAATCTTATGATTCAGTTCCCCTCCTCCATAGGAGAAGGTACAAACTACATTCGGGATATAGTCTGTGACAATCATGCGCTCCTTGTTGGCCAAAGTAGATGCTACTGGTCTACTAAGGTGCCGTACCCGGTCCTGTAGGTGCAGCCTTTCCAAACAGTCGCGACTTATATAATTCCGCGTGGATCAGATGTCTATGAAGGCACCACATTTGCGGCCTCCTACATCCACTTCCACCATGAAATGTTCCCCTCTAGGACCTTTCTTTAGTGCCACCCAAGATTCGCGAGGGTCCTTGTTTGACCACTCACTTTCCAAATCTTCTAAGGCTTCAGACACATCCAACGTACAGAGCATAGTTTGGTCCGGATGAGTCTGCGAGGTGACTAAAGAGTCATTAGCTATGGCCATCTCATGAAGTGGGGAGGGTATCTGGCCCACTTCACCCTGAGTAGAAGCAGCTAAAACTTCCACCGGCCTCACGTGTTTCCCGAGCTAGAAGCCTAGGAATAAGGTGCCCCCATCTTAGGAGGTATCTTTTGCGTGACCTTTGCGTTTTGGCACTTGTAGTGCGAGTGTTCGTATTCCCCGCAGTTAATGCAAGCACCACGCACTCGGCGGTCCCGCCACACGTCTTGATCAAGACCTGCCTTAACCCAATCAGCCACTTTGGTTTGATTGGAGGCGGCCTTCCCTTGACTCTTTGGTTGGCCCTTCACTCGGCCACCAGCCTTAGCCTTAACTACTGCGGCGAGGGTGCTACCCTCAGCGGTCTCSTCGCCGTCGTACTCTGAAATGTCMAGCAGGTCTGTGAGCTCGTCGATCTCGGTTTGGGTCCCATCGGACTCAACCATCAACAATTTAGCCCCCTTCTTCTTCCATTCCTGCGGACTATTCTTCTTCCTCGTGTCATTCTGAGAAGGTTGAGCGTTTCCTAGAGTGGCCTCCAAATCTAAAGCTTTCCTAGTCGAAGTCTCAAAGGAGTGATACTTGAGGCGAGCCTCGCTGGCCAACAAGTTTCTGAGGTTCTCTGGTAGACATCTCACAAACGTGGTCAATAGGAACTGGTTGTTGTAGTTTATACCGGGAACGACGATGAGGCTCTCTATGGTAGTCGTAAGCTCCCTGACTGACTTGAACTTTCGTTGGTCTAGTCTGTTTATCGCATCAGTGGCCATTTGTGCCTGCTGAGGATTGTGCCATCAAGCTTCTACCATTTCCATGAACTGGTCTAACGTAATTGTCCTAGCCCAGTCCGCCATGCGTCATCCGTACCCAGCCTTTGTCACTGCACCATCCAACCATTTGGCTGCCTTACCCTCGAGGTAAGATGCAACAGTAATCACCTCCTCCTCCTGCAAAGTCCTCTTTGCCTTTACCCAAACCGGAACTGTTCTCAACCAAGTGTTGAGCTCTTCGTCCTTCTTCTCGCCCGAAAAGGCAAGAGGCGGTTTCATAGGGGTTTTAGGTACCAAAGACCTTGCGGCTGTCCCTGTGGAGGAACAGGTTGTTGCGGTGGTGTAGCTCCCAACGCTGGACCCGAAGAAGTAGAAGCAACAGTCTGTGAGACTGCTGCAGACGTGCCACTTGGTTGTGTGCCAGCTTGTACGGGAAAGGGGCCAGACATCGTCGTTAACGACAACGGCGACTGTGCTGGTAGCCTAACCAAGTATCAAGTATCAAACCATCCGGAAGGACCGAAACCAATCACAAAATACAAAGTTAAATGGACTGGATATCCTAGCGAAGATTCCACATGGGAACCTCTTCCTAACCTTAAGAATGCTATGAAACTTGTTTGCGCCTATGATCGTGCTCACCCTATATCCTAGATACATAATATAACTTCAACCCTAAACCATTGCATAAAACCCGCCTTGACCCCGCCAAAACCCCGCATTCCTGCTCGACACACACCCCCTGTACCCAGCAAAGCCCTTGCCTCTTGACCCCCTTTCCCCCCCCCTCCCTGTCTGATCTTGCCCTTGCCCCCGCCTTGCCCCATTCTCCCATGTGTCCTCCGCCACATGTCTCTCTTGTCCAAGTCCTCTATGTGGCCCCTTCGCGTCGCCGACGATAATGGATCTAATGGCAAGCGCGTGAGGACGATGGCATGTTGCAGCTCAGTACGAGGAGATAAGACAGCTGGTTGGCCACCATGCTGTCCCTTTGGCCGACACCTTGGATTCGCAGACTTCTCGAGCAACACCTCTAACATGGACATCAAGATCAGTTTGCGACCTGCTATCCGGATCAGACCTCATCATCATATTGTGTACCAGACGCTACCTGTTACTGCGACAATCAAGCTGAAGTCCTCGCCGTCTACATCACGGAAGTGCTGAAGACTGTTTCCCCACCGCCACTTCTGCGACACCGTCCAAGACCTTCCTCAAGACATTGTTTTCGCTTTTAACACTTCGTTACAGACCTGAGATGTTTTTCCAAACCCCTTAGACACCCCAACACTTTAGCATTGAACAAACAATTTTTTTATTTAATTTTATTTCTCTCAAACCTGACAACCTATAACCTTGTAGAACACCAATAGGACTACTGTGGTACTAGTAGAACCTCAATAGGATTACCATGTTACCTGAACATTGCTACTCTAACCCTTGTAGACCCTCAATAGGATTACCATGTTACTTGAGCATTGATTCCCTCATCCCTGCAGAACCTCAATAGGATTACCCTGCTACTTCCATTACTCCCCTTTTCCCTTTCTGACCAGTGATCGGCCCCGTCCCGTCCTTCATAGTTGTCCATTGGGTCTTTGGCAACCAGACGTTGCCTTCCAAAGGGAGGGGATAGTGTTATGGACCCAGCCAGGGCTTGATCCCTGGTCCGCGGGTTACCACCCGCTAGACCGCTATTCTATTTTTTTTGGAGTCTCTGATCTCCAGTTCCTGACTGTTGGCACCCTCTGCAGTTGGCGCCCGTTCTCAAATCCCGCCTCTGCCACTTTCGGATTTCGTACTTGGCGCCATCCAGCATTCTGGCGCCCAGGCTCAGACCTTCGATTTTCAGTTCATCCCCGAGGCAAGTTGCACTTTTGCCCTCGGACTCAAGTTGAGTCCGGTACTTAAGAACGAACTCAAGCTGAGTTCGGGGACTCAGTTTTCGGCCCTAGTGCTTGTGCTTTAGTGTGACTTGCTGCGACATTGTGTATGGAACCAAAATTGCGACTTTGTGACCTTGCGACTTTGCCACTTTGTGTCCGTGTCCGTGTCCGTTGAGTTGTGTCAAGTCTGTGTCGAGTTGAGTGAGTGTGTGTGTGTGTGCTCTCACTCTCTCCCTCTCTCTTCCCTGTCCTCGTTGCTCTGCCTCAGCCCCGTCACACAGGTACTCGATCAGGGACTTCTTCAACTTCCTGAAGGTTGAGGTACAGTCTCTGTCCCAATTCCAAACAGTCTCCTTTCTCAGGAGTTTGCGCAGAGGTGCAACGATCATTGTGAAGTTTCGTACGAACTTCCGGTAGTAATTGACTAAGCCTATGAATGACCGCAGTTCGGTCAGTGTGTGCGGTGTTGGCCAATCTCTGATTGCTGCTATCTTCGCGTCCTCCGGTCTGATCCCATCTCCGTCCAATACATGACCCAAATACAAGACTTTACGCCTAGCCAATTCACACTTCTTCGGGTTCACCTTGGCCTTCGTAGCTCGCAACTTCT